AATTGTGAGAAGCTTCATACTCTGAAAATCATAGTAACTTGTACCTTGTACATAATTTCTATCAAAGCCAGTAAGCAGTAATCATGGCCTTCAGCAGACAAGAAAAGTGTCCCTGAACACTCCAAATATTTGTTCTCGCATTTTCCACGTAGCAGGACCACCACAAAAGCTCCCAGCTACTCTCTCGATATCTAGACAGCAATACTGTTTGGACTAGCTCAACAAGCAGACAAGTGAATATGCAAAAACATGTACTACACAGTCAGCAAGGACCTGCAACGAGTACGTGACTGTGTTTAGCACTATCTGGAATATTTATGGCACAACCTGCCCACCCATGCCACCCATAGCGTGGGGCACTAAGGAAGAGAGGGTAGAAAGAAGGGAAGAGTGACAAGCAGTGCAGTCATCTGAAAATGACATCAATGGCGCTTCCCCTTGCTAATTCATTGCAGCTGTGTTTACCAGCACAAGACTTGAACAAGGTCAAGCCAATAAGATCAGTCAACGTAGCTGCATAAAGAAGTAGTAAGAATTTCGCAAGTCACACACACACACACACACACACACACACACACACACACACACACACGGCGGACATGAACATAGGAAGAGGTGTGTTGGGTGTGTCCATGGGAAGAAGGAAGAGAGAGCTGGTGTGGATAGAAATCATTAAGACACACCGTATACAGGTATGAAATTGTGAAAAAAAAGATACATTATATCCATGTAGGAAATTGTTACAATATAAAAGCTCTTCTAAAAATAACAAAATAAGTAAACTGCGCAGGTCTGTAAATATCTGTAACTATGTTTTTAAAAAGACTTTAAGGTAAACTAAAAGAAGAAAGACCATATCAGAGCATAGCCCTTTCCGTGGATATCCTCTGATCTGCTGCCAGACCAAAGCATATTTTATAGGGGATATAATTACTCAAGAAGGCACTTTGTGACAATAAACACCCCAAACCGAGAAATCCTTTTGTAACCTAATTACTGAGAATATATAGAGAAAGCAACCATTTAGTCCTGAACATGTGTCGACCACAGGCACTCAGTAGCTGACTCCAGACTGGGTGTGGCTCATGTAGGCCCCCAAGAAGGAATTCTCAGGGATTGAAGTCACTCAGAGTTAGAACCCAAGCAGGGCTGACAGAGCCACAGGCAGCTGACCTTCCAGGCACAGGGCGAAGCCCATCTGTCAGCTCCCAGTCTACATCTGGGAGTGGAGTGGGTGTGGTTGGTGAGTTAAGACTGTGTGGTTAGAGGGCGTTGCCAGGGACTTCATTGCAAGATTTTCACCCTTACATTTTATACACATTTAAAACCAAAGGCTGTGCCTAAACCCAAAAGCTGAAAAATGAAAAAGTTTTTATTTTGTTTTTCTTTTTAGGAAAATAAGCTGGGTGTGGGGGCACATGCCTGTCCTGTACCCAGAAGGTGGGGCCAGAAGGACCAGGAGGTCAAGGGCAGTTACAGGGTGGGTTAAAGCCCTGCCAGGGTTACATGAAAAGAAAAAAGAAAGAAAAAAGAAAAAAGGGGGATTGAATCTGCAGGTACTTCCAGTCTGCCTTTGTTCTGAGTTTTAAAATGTAAACGGCACAGACAGGAGCTGCAGTCCATTTCGGAACTCATAAAAATGAAAGTTACTCCCCAAACAAGAAGGCGGCAGTGCTGTTTATTTGGAGATTCTTAGCTCTTGGTCATTAATCAGCATGCGAGTACAATGGGTACCATGCCAATACTACTACTAATAGTAACGATAATAGTGCTTGTGCCAATACTACTACTAATAATAATCATAAAAGTGTTTGTGTCATTACAATCTCCAAGCAATTACTTTGTATTAACACACACACACACACACACACACATACACACACACACTTCAACTATATTTATAAACCCAAAACACTCAAGAATGCCTCTTCTAAATATAAGCAAATCGTCTGGCCTCCTAGTTTTATAGAATTGTTTTAATGTTATTTAGTTTATATAAATGTGAAATCCCACACTTTTTTATTTTGAATTTATTAGAATAAATACCCAGGACAATGACAGATTATTCGTTATTTGAAAGTATCACCTCGCTGGATGAGGTTTCTCCCAACACCAAATTAACCAACTCTTCCCACTTGAAATGCCCTAAGTACAGGCCTGGAGGACTCAGTACTTACATTGCCTTTCTAGGAGAAAATGCACCCAGGTTTACAATAAGTCATTGCACTATGTTGCTAACAGACTGCTTCTTGGCATGACCTCTAACTCTCAGGGACGTAGAAAATGTGTTTTCCCTTCACAAAAAGACAAAAGAGAAATTTCTGGACAATCAAAACACTATAGACTAGGTGTGAGCCTGCTCCAAGGACTGAACAGCAAGCACCCTGGGAGAAAGGGTGCTTACACTACCTCCTCTGTTGGAACACAGGGAGGCAGCAGCTGGAGTAAACAACCGGCCCAGAGTTGCTGAGGTCAAGGTCTCAACAGCTAGACTAAGACCACTTCCGCCCAGATGACTCGGTTTCTCGAAAAGGACTTTCTAGTAGGAGCCAGCAATCTTCCTTGAAGAAACAGTCATATGAAGCGTTCCCCAAGAAAGTTGAACTGACCAGAGTTTCCTTGAAATATGCCTAAGTAGGAGACACATAACTGAAAGTCTTCAGCAATCAAGAGAAATCCTCAAGAGTATTCTATTTACCCGGACACAGCTGTATTAGTTAAGTTGATGCTGCTCATAAATTATTAATTTTCATGTGAAAATATTTTAGTTGTGCTGGTTTAAGTGAATTTCATATTAACTATGAGTTTGCACAGTAAACCTTTTTTTTTTCTAAATGCATTAAACATTCTTGCCAATTTTTAAACGCTCAGATTGCTGTCTCCCAGACCCAAATGATCTTGGTCTATTCAGTCGAGTATGAAGATTGAGCAGGCAGCACCGATGGAGATGTGACTTAGGCAATTGAAATGTCTGTCTTCCAACATCCTATTTCTAACAAGAGTCTACGGTTAAATTTTTTCAAGCCTAAAAATATACTCTTTACGTAACCAATCTCTACCTATTTTTCTTTTTCTTTTCTTTCTCTCTCTCTCTCTCTTTTTAAATGTAATCAACATTCAGATGAAAACCCACTAGTAGATCAGGCTTTTTTCTAAGAGAGAAGGGGTCCCTCTGTAGTAATTAAATGCCAGTCTTAAGAGGATGTCTTGGATGACGGTTTATTTTCTCATCAAAGTGACCAATCCTATTCACATCAGAAGCCGCTGCTTGCTAAAAGCCACCAAATGTCTTTCAAAGCATCCCCTTATCCAAACAACTCTCTCCTCCACTAAGAAAGAGGCATGAAGGCTTCGAGGTGGATTTGCAGGATGACGTGTATTTGATTGGCAGATGTCTAAGACGCAACTAGATGCACAGGCACTAAATGTAAATAGGTCCTCTGCCTGTCTTTCCGGTGTTACAGGGAAACAGAATATTAACGCCAAGTTAAAATACCTCAGTGCTCGCTCGAGAATTCTATTAACCAGTAGAATTATTGAAACCAATCTATACCGAACAGAGACTTAAGCCATCTGTACAGTTAAATTAGAGAGCTGGCAACACTAACCACAGAAGCTGTTTATCCAGATTACACATTCCGTTGTACTAATACTCTTTAACGCAACAAAGTCAGCTTTTGTCAGCCGAATTAGGGCAATTACTAGTAAAGTATGCAAAACTAGAAGACCAGGGGAAGGGGGCTGGGAAGCTCCAGGACACCTAACAAAGGAATTGGTACTTTTCCCCCACGCATTTGCCTCAAACGCACGGAGAAACAAAACTGTTGAGTGCACCCCACCCTTTCCCCCAAAGATAAAAGTTTGCAAAGTTCTGGGAGGCAGTTCTCTAACCAACAGACGCAGGGTTGATTCTCCCAGTAGGAGAGCATCTAATGTGAACACCTACTAACGTCGCGGAGGTCAAGTCCTAGCCCTCCTAGCTTTGCGTCTAAGGGCAGAAGTGGCTCCAAGACCAGTTCCGCCCGCTTCTCGGCCCAGGTGGCCTTACAAAGTTGTCCCTTGTCAACTCCAGCCAGGTCCTTCGTAATTGAAAATAAGAGCCACAGGCCAGCCCCTGGCTACTCCCATGGACCAGGCACAGTAGCAAGTGACAGTTCCACATCATTACGACCAGAGACAATAATGAATGTAGCGCCAGGACCACTATTCATGCCAGCAATGTTATCGCCTCCTTAACCCCTTCCGCTCCACTCTCCAGTGCTCATACACTGCCCGCACAGCCCCGGTGCGGCTATTCATCCAGCCCATCCATTGCTGGGGACCAACTACTTCCACGACCACCCCCCCCCCGCCCCTTTCAGCCCTGGGGATTTATTTCTCATCCTTGGCAACTGTCAGGCAAACACTGCAATCAACAATTCCAGTCGGGGGAGCAAAGCATTTGCTTAATTTACGTTACTTGCTAAGTTCTTTTAAAAATGTTTAGGGAGTGGGACAAGTAACCACCCTCTTTCTTCTCCGCGAATCCGACCGCCGCTCCTGGCTCGGCAATAGCATCGCCCTTCCCCGGCCCCCTCCCGCTTCCCAACACTTTCCCCCCATTTAAGAACACAGACCAACCAAAATGATTTAACTTGAGCAGATGACAGAAGGAAAATAAAACACGTTAAGAGAATACGATCTGATTTGGGATGGCAAAAAAAAAGGAGGGGGTTGTTTATTTTGATAAAAAAAACGGAATCGGCACAGACCTGAACAGAAGCTGCAGAGCAGGAGAAATTGTTTTCTTTCCCTCACACAGAGTCCCCCTCTCTCTCTCGCCCTTTCTCTCTCTCACACGCGCGCGCACACACACTCGCGCACACACACACACACTCACGGCGTCACCCGCGCACACTCACACGCACACGCACAAGCAGAGCCTCTCAGCTGCTCTCTGCAGTTCTCAGGAAATGAATGGGGGGCAACCCAGGGAACTGTTGTACTTGCAAATGACTTACCCAGATCACATGATGCGCTAAATGTAGGGTGGGCCGGTGGGTGGAGGCTGTCGAGACGCGAGCCCAGGTCTAACGTGGGGAGCCTCGCCAGGCCCGCATCGAATTACCCCGGGGCCCAGCCGAGGGGGTTGCAAGAAGCCGCTCTCTTCCCTTTGCAGCCCGCAGCTCAGGAAATCCGAGAGGCGCGGGGGTTGGGGCGGGGTGGGGTGAGGCTGGGGTGTGTGTAGGGTGGGGTGGGGGTGAAAACAGAAAACCCCCAAACAAAAGAGCTCCGGGTCCTCCTCCCCAGAAACAAAGCCCCGCCGCTGCGGGCGAGCCCTGGGGTGGGGCTGAGGGCGGGGGCGGCGGCGGGGAGGGGCTCGCTCAGCAGGCGCTAAGTCGCTTTATTGCCATAAAATGGGGCCCCGAGCCGCTCCGCCGGAGGATTAGGAGGCGGGCTCAGAGTGTGATGGTTGAAATCCCCTGTGGGAAACTAACCCCTCCCCGATCGCAGAGGTAAAACGCAACACCCACTGCCCAGCCCTCTTCTTGCCAGGCTGGCCAGCGGCAGGGGGTGGGTCCTCGGAGCCACCACCCCGCCCCACCCCGCCCCACCCCTGCCCCCGCCCCTGGCCCTGGGCCTTTGCCGCGCCACCCTGTCACCTGCACCACCTCTCTCTGCGGCACCCTAAATAACCCACACATGGCTCCCGCGACTCTTATAGCCGCAACCTAAGGGAAATTTTAGGGGTCGCGGAGAGAGGAACCCCCTGATGGCAACTCTCGGGGCGAGACTCTTGTTGAGCTGCCACCAAGTCCCCTCTTTTGTGTCACCACGCGCCTAGGCAGTCTTGGGGAAAGAATTAGAAGCCGATTAAAGCGGTCAGCCCGAGTGGCCCTCGCTCACTCCCCGCCGCAGCCTCGGTGGGTGGGGGCCGAACGAGGAGGGGGCCCCGCGCCCAAACTGTCCCTGCGGCTCACCCGCAGCTAACTTAGAAAGGTGTGGGCGGAGCCGGCCGAGTCTGCAGGGTCCGCCCCCGGGCGCCGGGAGGCTTGGGCAACAATGGGGTCCCGGCGGGGGCTACCCCGCGGGTGGCGCAACCGGAGAGACTCGATTAACGACAGGGGGGGATCATTGTTTGGGTCCGAGTGCCCGGCACGTTGCTGGAAAAGCAGGGGCGCCCCGCTGGCCGTGATTCACCTTGGCGGGATGAATGGGGGCGAGGTGCGGGTGTGTGCCTCTCTGAGCAGCGCTGGCACACCGGGGCGCCACACCGCGCGGGTTATTTAGGAAAGCAGTGAAGTCGACGTCTTAGGGAGGAAAGGAGACTCAAACTGAGCTGGGACCCCAGCCAGGGCGCCGGGGATACGAGCAGGGGACAGATCGGTGCTCGGTCCTCGGAGGGGAGCCCGGCGCTGGACGCCATCCCGGGCGGCCCCGCCTGCGCGCACCGGGCAGAGGATCCGCGAGATTCTGGGCAGGGAGAGGGAGGAGGCGTCTCCGCTGTTCCCGCCGCGGCTGGAGGGACTCGGGGTCAGGTCGTCCGGGAGGGTGGGCGGGGGCGGCGAGTGGAGGAAGCGGAAAGGACCCGGCGGGGTGCAGGAGTAGGGCTGGCCCCGGGCGGTCGCTGGAGGTCAGGGGACTGTGGGTACCACTTTTTTGAAACCTAGGTGAGCTCCTGGGGCCTGACACCCCTACTCCGTGCCACTGAGCTGGCCCTGCGTGGGAAACCGCCCTGAAGGTGGGAGGCTGGAACGGGAAGTTTGTGTTAAAAGAAAAAAAAACCTGCAGTTCTGTGGAGTGGAATGGGGTGGGAAGAGAAACCATGGGAAGGCCGAGAAACAGGAAATGAGAGCGAAGGAGCAAACGCGAGCCAGGAAAAGCCAGCTTCTCCATCAGTGTGGCACCGTGGCATTTGCTGAGTACTTAAGGCCCAGGTGTGCTGTTAATGAAAACAAAGGCGGGGCACCGGCTGGCTGGGCTTTGCCCTTGCTATGTTTCCTGCAGAAGGCAACTGGAAAGGGTAGTCCATCCAGAAGAGGACCGGAGCAGCCCTTTCCTAAGTCAGAACAGGATGAATCAGCGGGCCCAGAGTCCTCTTGGCAGTAGGACAGGGACTGAGCGAGGCAGTGTGTCCCAGTGTTAAGGTTTCTAAGAAGAACAAATGAGATAAGTGTGAAAGTCTCTGAAATTTGTGTAGCACACTCTTCCGGAGAAGTCGATCTAAATAAGAAAACAGTGGGAGAAGGGAGGTGTGTGACTCGGGACCCCAGAGGTTTCACTGCTGCAATGGGGGGGGAGGGGTCTCTGTTCCAAGAACTGACAGCTGCAAAACCTCAACCTGATCTGATCTTGGGTCCAGGGACAATGTCCCTCTTCACTCTCCTGCATGTGGACAGGAAAAAAAAAATGCTGCCAACTAGAAAAATTGCAGAATATCAACACATGTGCACTATTTAAAGGGAAATCGCTCCTCTACTGGAATCACAGTAAAATTTCTCTGTAGGTGGGGCTGGGATAGGCAGAGAGTAAATTTAACCTAAGGATGGAAGGAGGCTCTGAGAAATTATGTCTTCTTGGCAGTTCTTGTGCAAACAGCTTTCTCAGAGAGCGGAGTGCCGAAGCAGATCACCAATAGATTGTATAGTGAATGCTTCTGTGCGCGGGAAAACAAGATGCCTCCTCCCTGTGGCTACAGCCATGGGCGTGTTAACCAAAAGATGACGTTAGAAACTGATCTGCAGGAATTCAGTCCAGAGGGAGAAGGAAATTAAGGGCAGGTCAAGGTTAATGTCTAGAGTCTGAGGAGGGCATGTGGTTAAGAGAAGGAAGTACATCAAGTTTTAGGGAAAATGCTAGTAGGATTTTAATGAAAAATATTGAAATAGAGGTTAGAAATGTTAAAATATGGCAACTCCACAGCTATAAAGGGTGGGGATGAAAAGGAAGCTACAGGCTTGGAAGGGAGAGTCACTTATCCTGCAGACAGGGATGGGTGTGGGAAAGCAAACACGAAGAATTTTAAAGGGATGAAGGGATCTCTACAGTTTGTGTGTGTGTGTGTGTGTGTTCACGTGCGCTAAAGCATTTGCTTCTTATGGAGTGTCTATCATTCTTTCTCAGTACAGAACTTAAAACCTGGAGTGTGGACAGAAGGAAATGAGGCAAGGAAAAATGTCCTGTCTGAGAAGGATGGGTATAATTTTTGTTGTTAGACCTTTCTACTCTATTCCGTGTTTCAGCGGTGTGGAAAATCAGAATAAGTAAAAATAAAAAGTTGTTTTCGTCAAGAGCGTATAATTCTCGCAAAATAGAGAAAAATTCTGAATCTTATAATTTCAGAGCTGAAACTATGAAATTTCATCCCATAAGAAACTTCAATACAATTTAAAAGCAAACACTTTGAGCCAAGGATAATGACTCATTCTCTGACTTACTTGGTTTTTAACTTGAAGAAAAATGAATTACCAGAAAAAGTAAAAGGTGCTATTTTGAGCTACAGATGATAAACATGTTGGATTTTATTTATGTAACACTATATTCAGAAGATAAGAGAAAGCGCAAAAATTCCTCCTAGGCACAGAATATAAGTGACTGAATATCAGCTATAGAGGAAAACTAAAACTGGAGGTTTTTAAATAATGGGAAAGCAGACATTACTACCCACAACCCCCTTTTAAATCTCATAGTTAACTAATGGTAATTTACAGTAAAATTAGTATACTAGGATGGAAATTGTTTACAGTATAAAGGGGTTTAAACCTGCACCACACACTGCTGTATGGGAAAAATTCTATTCAATGTGTATTAAAAGTAATTAGTCCTTTGGATTAAAGAGGACAGAAATTGCAGGGCTGTTTTAACACTAGCTGTGGGTGGAGCTGGGGGACACTGAATCTAGTTCAGAAGTCAGTGCATTGCTGGAAGATTAGAATCAACTGGAAGTGGAAATTAAAGTGATTCCCGTAGCTCCAAATGAAGTTTCAGCAGAAACTCTACTCTTTCCAAGGGCTAAACATATACATATGGACAGAGGTTTTCACTGCCTATATTTTTTAACATGCATTTTGGCAATAATATACAGCATAGGGGAATTCTGTTTCCGTGTGAGAAACGCACATTTAGAACCTTTGGGACAAACGCAGGCAGCAGGTGATAGTGTGTGATGGTGGAAACCGCATGTTTTCAGTTGGATAGTGAACTGTCTGAAATTAGGAGAGAAAGATCTCATTTTATAATTTTGTCACAATCATCACAGCTTTGGGCTTTTCTAGTTTAAATATCCACTTTTCCAAGTTCCTCCCACACTGTCCTCAGGCCTCGCAGCCTTCATGCAGTCAACATCAGAGCCTCTTCAGCTCCCCCAGCTTTATCCTTCCAGACCTCTTATTCGGTCTGTCCGACTCTTCCCTAGGCAAAGTCTGAATTATATTTTACATAACCAACTTGGAATGGGCACACTGTACATCATCTGGGCATGTAAGAATCTTGTGAATCTTGTTTTGTGTCTCTGAGATAGCAACTTACACCCGTCAGAATGTCTAAGATTAAAAAAAAAAAAAACCAATGATAACGTATGTTTGAGAGGATGTGGAGTAAGGGGAACAGTCCTCCCTTGTGGTGGGAGTGCAGACTTGCACAGCCACTGTGAAAATCAGTGTGGCGGTTTCTCAGAAAACAGGGAGTCAGTCTACCCAGAACCCGGAAATAACCTAGATGCCCTCTACTGAAGAATGAGTAAAGAAAATGTGGTACATTTACACAATAGAGTACTACTCAGTGGTTTAAAAACAAATGAAATTTGAAATTTGCAGGCAAATGGATGGAACTAGAAAAAACAATCATTTTGAGTGAAGTAACCCAGACCCAGAAAGATAAACTTGGTAAATACTCATTCTAAAGTGGATATTAATTACAAAGCAAAAGATAACCAGCCTATAGTCCACAACCCCAGAGCCCAGAGAAGCTAGGTAACACGGAGAACCCTAAGAGAGACATACATGGATCTCCGTGGGAAGGGGAAATAGATAAGATCTTTTGAGAAAATTGGGAGCATGGGGGGAGGGGAAGGGAGAAGAGCATAAAAGAATGTGATGGCTGAGATGGAGGAAGGACAGAGAGGAAGAGCAAAGAAAGATATCTTGATTAAGGGCACGATTATGGGGCTAGGAAGAAAACTGGCAGTGAGGAAATTCCCAGGAATCCAGAAGGATGACCCCAGCTGAGACCCTAAACCATAGTGGAGAGGGAGCCCAAACTGCCCTTCCCCCGGAATCAGGTTGATGACTACCTTAATTGTCATCATAGCAACTGATAGAAGCAGATGCAGAGATTCACAGCTAAGCACTGGGCTGAGCTCCCAGAGTCTAGTCGGAAGAAGGAGGATCGATAATACCAGCAAAGGGGTCAAGACCATGATAGGGATACCCACAGAAACACCTGACCTGACTTAGTGGCAGCTC